GTGTATGGGATGAGCCTGTGTGCAGCTCTGCTGTGTGCCTGCCTGGGCTTGGATGCCGGGAGCCTGGAGCTGGCTCTGGGCTCTCTGCTGAGTGTGTCTTTGTGCGTTTGCCTGCAGGGCGTGGGGCGTCTCCGCACCTTTCTTTTCTGTTCGTGTCTGTGTAGCAGTGCAGAATGAACACACACGTGTCACTTGGGGCTTGTGCACACCCTCAGTGTCGGGGTGAACGTGAGGTGTGTGGACGCGGTAGTGTTTGTGTCATGGAGTTTGTGTGCAGTCAGAATGTGGTATTTCCCTGTGTTTGCTGTAGCTTATGCCTCTGTGCATGTGTGCATGTGTGTGTGTGTGTCTACTAGAGTGAGTCCGAAGGTGTGGCATTTGCAGGCCTGGGGGTGACCGTGTCCTTGTGTCAATGGGCAGTGTGCACCTGTGCCAGGCTGTGGTGTGTGTGTCTGTGGCTGCTGGCAGGACCCATCTTCCAATGGGGTCTTGTGTAACCCTATTTGCAAGCATGAGGCTGGGTGAGGGTGAGGCTTAGCCTGTGGTGTGTGGCTATAAATGCGTATGCGTGGCATTGTCATTCGTCTTTAGGGGCTTTGGGGACTCATCTTTCTCAGAAAGGTCCCTCCAGCTCCCAGGCTGCAGCCTTGGCTGTGACTTCCGTTTCCAACCAGGCTGGCTGGTTCTGTGCCTGGCTTCCCGCTGGTCCCCTTCCTGAGAGAACCCAGACACCACCAGGGCCAGCAAGTCAAGGTGACACAGTACGGCAGGGCGGGGCTCCTTCTGCTGTGGTCCCCAAGGCAAGCGCATCCTACACAGTGACACCCTGCAGGAATCTCCCCTGAGATGAATTTTAATTTCCGTTCGGGGCAGGCAGGTGTCATGAGCCCCCAAGCTTGGCAGCGGCCAGCCGTGCAACCCACAGGGCCACCGAGCCATGGAAGAGAGCTTGGGTTTGCGTTTCAAAGGCAACCGGGGCCCAAGGGCATCTGTGTGTGCTGTGCTTGAGTGCCCGTGAGTGTGTGCCAGTGCACGTGGCGTGTCTGTGAGAATGTGCTTTGTAGCAGTGCCTCTGTGTGCGAGTTCTTACACGGGCTCTGAGTGTGGCAGCGAGCTTGAGGGTTCGTGGGTCCCTGTCACTGTGTGAGTGCCCCGGAGAGCATGTCGTGTGTCTGTGCCTGTACGCGTGGGTGCTTACGGACGAGACTGTGGGCCAGCATTGTGCAGCGGGTTAAGCCCCCACCTGGGACACCAGCTTCCGATATGAATGCTGGCTCAAGACCTGGCTTCTCTACTTCTCACCCAGCTCCCTGCTAATGTGCCTAGGAAAGCAGCCAAAGATGGTCCAAGTGCTTGGGCCCCTGCCACTCATGTGGGAGACTCAGATGGAGCTTCGGGCTCCTGCCTTTGGCCTGGCCCAGTCCCAGCCGCTGTGATCATTTGAGGAGTGAATCAGCGGATGGAAGATAGCTCCTTCTCTCTCTGATTGCCTTTCAGATGCATAACGAATGATTTAAAACAACGAATGAGGCTGTCTGAGTGTGTCTGGGTCTTTGTGTGTTGTGTTCCAGGCCCTGTGTGTGTCTGAGTGTGGGCCAATGCTGTGCATCTGGGTGTGTGTTGCAGAGCCTACTGGGAAGGGGCCCACACCCACTCCAGCTGCTGCGCCTCTCTCTGGGCCCTGGGAGGGGGTTGCATGCACTGCCCTCCCCTCACAGGGACTCCAGGCCTGCAGCCAGCCCGGGACACACCCCGCCCAGGCCCCAGCAGCCCAGCTCACGGACCCGTGCTCACCGACCCACAGGCACCCAATGGGCTCCTGGGAGGCAATGGCCAAGAGAGGATGGGCCATTAGCAGGCGGGGCGGTGTGGGTTTCTCGCTCTCACTTTGCTGAGGGTGTGGGGGCAGCTCATCCATCTTGGGCAATGGGCCTGCTGGGCTGTGAGATCGCCACGGTCTTGTGGCTGAGCTGGAGAATGAAGCCAGAGTGCGGGGGGACCTTAGAGGGCGCCTGCACATAAGCATCCCAGCCCAGACGGCCCTCCTGCTCATGCACACATGACTCTACACACATGACACACACAGGGGTGTGGGCAGGCCCTGCCCCACGCCCGGCACTGCACACACGACAGGCCCAGGGGTGTGAGCGGGCCCTACCACCCACGCCCGGCACTGCACACATGACAGGCACAGGGGTGTGGGTGGGCCCAGCCCCAGGCCCGGAGTGCGCGCACACACACTGCACTCATGCAGACACTCAGGCAGTTTCGTGTGCAGACCTCACACTCACTTCAACCAACCTCCTTGCCTGAAGCTGGCCAAGACTCAGAAGTCCCACAGATTGGGGTGGCCTAAGTCACTTGATGTCCCCTCTCTTCTGTCTGAGCCCACATGGGCCTTGGGGGTGTGAGAGTGGTTCACCCCTCCTCACCCACCTCCCAGGACCTCTCATCAAGGGCTGGGGGAAAAGGGAGGGTCCCAAATCTGATCATTCCGAAAAGGGGCCGACCCACAGCCAGGGGCAGGTGAGTACCAGGGGCTGCCTCTCCCCGCTTCCCGCCCCCACCACCGCTGGGACCTGGCTGGGCCCAGGAGGCGAGAGCAGGATGCCCCCAGGGACAAGGACAACCAAGGAGGACCCAGAGACGGGTCTTGCAGGTGTAAGCAGAGGTGGATCGTATTCCGAAAGCAGAAGAGATGCGTAAAGGGTTTTGGAGAGCAAAGGACCACAGCCAAGTGAGGGTGAGGTGCAAACGCAAATGGACTGGAGGAGTCGAGAGTGGAGGAGAGGAGGGGACCAGCCAGGACTCACTCATCCACTCAACACCTGTGCATGGGTGCTCACCGAACGGTCCGGCACAGAGCGGGTCAGACCCTGCCTCAGACCCCGGAACCCAGAGGACCTGCCCAGGACTACCCCGCTGGCACACAGAGTGCGGGCATCTATGCAGACTGCACAGAGAAAGACAAGAGGGGCCGAGGGGAGACCCCGGGGGCTCTTCTAGGCAAGATGGTCGGGGCAGGTGTCTGAGAAGGTGACCTGGGAGCTGACACCTGCAGGAGGGGAGGGCTGTTGGAGGAAGAGCCGACCAAATAGGGGGAATGGCCAGTGCGAGGGCCCCGGGGGCGGCGTGCCATTTACTCAGAGGGAGCGACTTGGGAAGTCGATGATTTCTATTTTGGATGTGCTGCACTGAGGTGCCTTCAGGACAAGCCAGGGACGGTGACCAAGAAACAGGATTCGGGTACAGATAGGAATTAAAGAAGATGGCATCCCGGGAGCTAACGCAAGGGATGACTGCGGGGGGCAGCCTGTGGGCGGAGAGGCGACGTGGGGGAGCCCGGCTGCCAGGGACGGGGGTCAGGGAGGCGGCAGGGCTGCAAGGGCGCTCCCAGGGTGGGCCGAGTACCAGCGCACTCTGCTGCTCAGATGGGCCAGGCTGCTGACAGGAGCCCGTGAGAGATGGCCTCCTTCGGTCCCCTGGGCCCCCACTGCCCCCGTCCTGGCCCTCAGAGCCAATCTGTCCACCATTAGCGCTTCATTCCTGGAGCTTGGGACTGGCTCCGAAGCCGCTGTCCCTTGAGAGCAGGGAACCTGTGCGAGGCTGGCAGTCTGGGCCACAGGCCTCCCAGGTGGCCTCTGAGCCCTGGTGCTGGGATCCGGGGGGACAAAACCTAGGCAGAAGCTTCCAGCCCTCACAGGGTCAGACTCCTGGGAGCTATTTCTTCACATGTCAGAGGGGTTTTGAGCTGGGGCTGGCAGAGGTATCGCTCTGCTGTGTGGCATTTGCCAATTCCCATGGTATCAGTCCTCCCCTGGGACGCCAAGTCAACTGGACCACACAGTCCCTAAAAGGTCAACGGTTGGGGCCGGCCCTGTGGCACAGTGGGTGAGGCTGCCACCTGCAGTGCGAGCATCCCATATGGGCACTGGTTCGAGTCCCAGCTGCTCCACTTCCTATCCAGCTCTCTGCTATGGCCTGGGAAAGCAATGGAAGATGGCCCAAGTCCTTGGGCCCCTGCACCAATGTGGGAGACTCAGAAGAGGCTCTTGGCTCCTGGCTTTGGATCAGCACAGCTCTGGCCATTGTGGCCAACTGGGAAGTGAACCAACGGATGGATGACCTCTCTCTCTCTCTCTCTCTCTCTCTCTCTCTCTCTCTCTCTCTCTCCCTACCTCTCCTTCTCTGGGTAACTCTGATTTCCAACTAGACAAACCTTTAAAAAAATAAATAAAAATAAAAGTTCACTGGTCAGTTCCCATGAGCTGGTGTGAGGGCCTCCGCACCTGCTCCAGAGCCTCCCCAGGGGGTGGGCAGTGGCAGAGCCCAGGGCCTGAAAGGGGAGCCGCACGTTGGTGGGGGAGGAAGAGGAGCCAGCCTTCCCAGCTTCCCTGCCTTCGCTCTCAGCAGCCAAGGTCACTGCCAGAAACGCTCTGAGCCGCCATCGCTCCTGCAGCTGTACCACCCACATTCTGCCTAGGCCCCCCCTCCTCTGCCTTTCCTAAAACAGTGGACTGATGCCACCCGCCCTCCCGCGCCTTCTTTCTTTAGAAACCGATGCCACCCTGAGCCACAGCCAGACCACAGCTTTGCCTCTGCGGACAGGAGACTTGGACATCTGGCCAGCTCTGCCACCGGCTCCCAGAAGCTTCTTGCCCCTATCTGTCCTCAGTTTCTCCATCTGTGAAATGGGCAGCAATAGCCCATCTCCCAGAGCTCTTTGAACTGCGAGATTCTGTGATTTCTGTCATTCCCTGTCTCAGCCCTGATGCAGCTCCAGGCCTCCTCTCCCAAACACATTTCCCCAGCCTCCTAGACCCCCCCCATCCCTGCTGCAGCAACCCCCCACTGCCTCTGGCTCCCCAGGCTCCCGGATAAGGGGCCCAACTAATTACATTAGGATTTCATGCCAATTAGCAAACAATTACACGGGCAAATTGGTGCCTAATTTGGAGCAATAAGACAGCTCCATTGGCCGAGGAAGGAGGGCTGCTCACCTCCCCTCTGTGTGGCCCTGGCGGGCCCCCTGCAGGACGGAAACTAGCTTCTGCCCCTGCGCTGGGCCCTGGCGGCGGCAGCTCTCCTCTGAGGCTCCTTCAGCAACGTGGTCTGCCTGGGGCCTGCGTGCAAGAAAGGAAGCGATGTCGGAGGCAGGGGCAGAGGGCCTGGCTTGGCGAGGAGAGGGGAGGGCTCACAGCAGCAGGCAGGGACGCGGAGGAACAGCCGCCCCCACAATCAAAGGTTTGGAGGCTGGAATGAGGCACGCGAGGTCAAGGCTAACGGGGAAACCCCCTGGGCCCGAGCATAGGATGGTCGGGGCTGGGGGAGCCGAGGCTGCAGAGGTGGGGCCGGCATGGGCACGTCATTCCTGGGGACTCAGACTTGCTCCTGGGGGCCCTGGGAGCTCCTGGGGGCTCAGGTGGGAGGAGGAGACTGTGTGGAGACTCATCTTGGGCTCCTCCTGTCGGATCACCAGCAACCACCCATCCCACCCACAGCTTGCCGGGGGCCACCACCCCCTGCCCCGCCTCCCCTCTGAGCGCCTCCGGGACTCACAGCCCTGTTCAGGACCACAGTGGCTGCCAATCCTGCTCCCCTTGTTCCTGGCCCGTATTTTCCCCAAGCACACCCAACCATAGTCCACCTTTGCTTAAACCAGCGATGGCTCTCCAGGGTGCTAAGAATAAAGTTCAAACTTCCAGCCTCACCTTCACCCAGATTTCCTGTGCCCACGGCCCCATCTGCAGACTGCCAGGTGCCGTCACACCTGCCGGCCTCTGCCCACGCGCCCTCCCAGCCGCCTTCCTTGTCACCGAAGGCACCCTCCCAGGCCCTTCGCACTCCCCCGGAGAGCCCCGCCTTGTCTCTCCCTGAGCTCTCCCTGAGCACAGCTCCTCCAGCGACTGGTCACTCTGCAGAGGGCGGCTGTGGCCGGGGCTGCCTGGCCCAGCACAGCTGGAGCGGATTTACTCCACATCCGCTGTATCCAGCGTCAAAAGTGAAGAATCAGACGGTGTCGTGGCTCACTTGGCTAATCCTCCGCCTGTGCACCGGCACCCCGGGTTCTAGTCCTGGTTGGGGCTCCAGATTCTGTCCCGGTTGCTCCTCTTCCAGGCCAGCTCTCTGCTGTGGCCCGGGAGTGCGGTGGAGGATGGCCCAGGTGCTTGGGCCCTGCACCCCATGGGAGACCAGGAGAAGCACCTGGCTCCTGGCTTCAGATCAGTGCGGTGCGCCGGCTGTAGCAGCCATTTTGGGGGGTGAACCAACGGAAGGAAGACCTCTCTCTCTCTCTCTCTCTCTCTCTAACTCTGCCTGTCAAAAAAAAAAAAAAAAAAAGGTTTCTGGGTGGGGGGAGAAGAAGAAGAAAAGAAAGAAAGAAAAAGAAAGTGAAGAAAAAGGCTGGAGCTGGCACTGTGGCAAACCAGGTAAAGCTACCTCCTGCATGGGTTCAAGTCCCGGCCACTCCACTTCTGATCCAGCTCCCTGCTAATGCGCTTGGGAAAGCAGAAGATGGTTTAATGTTTGCACTTCTGCACCCAAGTGGGAGACCCGATGAAGCGCCTGGTTTTGGCCTGGCCCAGCCCTAGCCATTGTGAGCTGGGAAGTGAACCAGCAGATGGAAGATCTCTCTCTCTCTCTCTCTGTAACTCTTTCAAATAAATAAATAATTTTTTTTAAGAGAAGAAGACAAAGGGATGGATTAAGAAGCCATTTTCCACCTGAGGACAGTAGGGAAACTGAGGCAGAGACATCTACATGAATCTCGTGAAAGCTTCTCTTAGAAAGGAGTGTATGGGGCTGGCACTGTGGTGTAGCAGGTAAAGCCACTGCCTGCAGTGCCGGCATCCCATATGGGCCCTGGTTCAAGTCCCAGCTGCTCCACTTCCTATCCAGCTCTCTGCTGTGGCCTGGGAAAGCAGAAAGCAGTAGAAAATGGCCCAAGTCCTTAGGCCCCTGCACCTGCGTGGGGACCTGGAAGAAGCTCCTGGCTCCTGATTTCAGATCAGTGCAGCTCCAGCTGTTGCGGCCATCTGGGGAGTGAACCAGCGGATGGAAGATCTCTCTCTCTCTCTGCCTCTCCTTCTCGCTCTGTGTAACTCTGACTTTCAAATAAAATAAATAAATATATAAAAGAAAGAAAGAAAAGGGAAAGGAAGAAAGGAAGAAAGGAAGGGAGGTAGGGAGGTAGGGAGGGAGGGAGGGAGGGAGGGAGGAAGGAAGGAAGGAAGGAAGGAAGGAAGGAAGGAAGGAAGGAAGGAAGGAAGGAAGGAAGGAAGGAATGCTGGGGGGCTGGCGCTGTGGTGTAGTGGGCTAAGCCTCTGCCTGCATTGCCAGCATCCCATATGGGCGTCAGTTAGAGTCCCCGCTACTCCACTTCTAATCCAGCTCTCTGCTATGGCCTGGGAAAGCAGCAGAAGGTGGCCCAAGTGCTTGGGTGCCTGCACTCACGTGAAAGACCTGGAAAAAGCTCCTGGCTCCTGGCTTCAGATTGACCAAGCTCCAGCCTTTGCAGCCATCTGGGGAGTGAACCAGCAGATGGAAGACCTCTGTCTCTGTCTCTCCCTCTCTCTGTCTGTAATTCTAGAACGGAGCCCCACCCTCACCCAGGCGCTTTCCCCTTGCTTTCCCTAAGTGAAATAAAGTCCCTACAGCCAAAAATTCCCCCAAAGCAAGTGCAGTGCTCACAAGGGCCACAGCAGCATGAACTGCAGCATGAAGGACTGTGGGCAGCTCAAGAAGGAACTTCCCAGGCATCAAGGCTCAGCTCCTGAATCGAACCCTAAAGGAATGACCAATGGGGAAGAGAGGGGCTCAACCTCCCAAGTGACCAAGGATGGAACACAGATCTGTCCAGAGGCAGGGGGATGACTTTCCTGAAATCTTGGTTCTCCCCCGCTGCGGGGGCTGTTCCTCCGACTCAAGGCCCATCACTCATGTTAATTACCGAGAAAACACCGATTTCTCCTCATTTCCAGACTCCAAATGACAGCGTCATTAGGCGGGTAATGTGCGGGGAAATTGTGCGTGTCTGTCTTGGAACACGACCCGAGCCACAGTGGGTGAGGGCATCCCCGGCAGGGGTCTGTCTCCAGGATGCTCCCCGGGGCAGGAGGCCACGCCCCGGAAGACATGCTGTGCCGCAGGCCAGGGGTACTCTCCCTCTCTGTTCAGTGGGCACCAGCGATACCGGTTAGATCAACAGAGCAGGGAACCCACAGCACACAAGCCATGTCAACAGTGTGGCCCTTGGCTCTAACACGGGACATGACCCCTTAGTCTCAGCTCAACTTGAACTCAGGCCTGCCTGCTGCCATGGCGCTTTCGGGTCTCACCCGCACCCTTTGGGCTTCTGCCCACCTCTGACCTCAGCAGCCTCTGCATGCCAACCTGCGGCAGGGAGGAAGCAGCTGGTCACTCCTGGGCCTCCTGCCTCCCCTCCCCCGGGCTGCAAAGGCCACGCCCTGGATTGCTGAACTCCGCCCCCCATAAGAGGGCTTCACTCACCTTGGAACCCGCTTAGCATAGGAGCAGAGGAGGCCTAGCGAGGCCAGGCAGTCTGCCCGTATCCAGCTCTCATAGGGACTTGGCTTGACCCAAGGCTGCACGCCCAAGCTCAGGCTGAAGACGGAGCCCTCAGTTCCATGCAGTGTAGTCCCAGAGGAAAGAGTCCCCAGCCTGGCTCCTGCCCCCAGGAGGGCAGCTAGGCCAGGGAGAGGCAGCCACGAAGCCTAATCGCAGCTCTGAGAGATCCATGCCTGACACAAAAGAGAAGACACAGAAGGTTCAGCTGGACCAGTAATCAAAGAAATGCAAATGAAAGCAACAAGGATACAATACGGTTTTACCCATGGAAATTAATCCAGGGTTTTTGTTTGCTTTTTTTTTTAAAGACAGCACCATGTTGATGAGAACTGAAATCTAGGGCGTTCTCAGAGTCCATTGATGGAAGGTAAACTGGAGGCACTTTGGTGGGCCATTTGGACAGTGGTGTCAAGAGCTTTAAGTGGGCGGTGCCGTGGGTTAAGCTTCGGCCTGCATTGCCTGCCTCCCATATGAGCGCTAGTTCGATTCCCAGCTGCTCCACTTCTGATCCAGCTCTCCGCTATGACCTGGGAAAGCAATGGAAGATGGCCCATGCACCCAACATGGGAGACCCAGAAGAAGCTCCTGGCTCCTGGCTTCGGATCGGCACAGCTCTGGCTGTTGCTGTAACTTGTGGAGTGAACCAGCAGATGGAAGACCTCTCTTTCTCTCTCACTCTCTCTCTCTGTAATTCTGCCTTTCAAATAAACAAATAAATATTTTAAAAGAGAGAGAGAGAGAGAGCTTTAAGCACCGACAAGCCCTTTGTTCCATGAATCTACTTTCAGGAACTCAATCCAAGAAATAGCCCAAGACATAAAAAAAAAAACCCTGAACAAGGATGCTTATTGCTGTTATTTATAACTGTGAAAAATCACAACCAACATAAACGTCTAGCAATGGAGAGCTGGATGAATAAGTTATGATTCACCCATATATAAGAATATTATGCGAACATTAAAAGTCATGTTCTTGAGGAATTTTTAATAACCTGGAAAAATGTTCTCCATATAACGACACGAGAAACAAAGCAGTGCACAGAATGGTACATATAGGATGGACTCAATTTGATTAAAAAAATTGATCAATTAATTTAAACAAAGTCTGGACAGAAATAAACAGAATTCATGGAAAGGATTACATGTGATTTTCTTTTTCACTTCAACATATACTTTAAGGTTTCTTTGAAATGGTCTACAAATTTTCAGGGGAATAAAAAGTCATTAAAAATACATGTAATGTGGGGTTGGCGCTGTAGCGGGTAAAGCCGCTGCCTGCTGTGCTGGCATCCCATATGGGTGCCGGTTCGAGTTCTGGCTGCTCCACTTCCAGTTCAGCTCTCTGCTGTGGCCAAGGAAAGCAGTGGAAGATGGCCCAAGTCCTTAGGCTTCTGTATCCGTGTGGGAGACACGGAAGAAACTCCTGGCTCCTGAACTGGATCAGCGGATCTCCGGCCATTGCGGCCATCTGGGGAGTGAACCAGTGGATGGAAGACCTCTCTCTCTCTCTCTCTCTCTCTCTCCAACTCTGCCTTTCAAATAATTTTTTTTTTTTTTTTAGAAAATACATGTAATTGAGAGAGGGTGGGAGGAGCAGACCCGGAGGTCTTCCAACCCCACCCAGGGGCAGTCAGGGAAGGCTTCCTGGTGGTGCTGATGTAGGTGGAAGCTTCATGGCCTTGGCTGGGAAACAGCTATGTGCCATGACACGGAGGCAAGAGAGAGCCCGACCTCTTGTGGAAACTCTTAGTAGCTTGTGTGGCTGGGTGAAGGGGCCTCAAGTGGATCACAGGCAAGGAACGGAGATGGGACAGCCAGCCAGAAGACCTGGCTAGAGAGCTGGCTCTTCACCCTGAGAACAAAGGCCAGCCTCGAGGGGTCCTCAGCACCCGTGACAGGGTCCAAGCTGTGCAAAGAGACTTTCCTGGCCTTAGAACGAGAGGGCTCAGGGACACGGGAGACAAGGAGAGGCCAGACAGGGACCCAGCACCAGCGGGGAGGCGGGGCTGTGGGGCCCAGGGGAAGAGGAGGGGCGGCTGGAGTGTGAGTAGGAGCAGGATTGCTGGACCGGGCGATGGACTGCAGAGGGGAGGCAGCCTGGGGGAGGGGCGCCAGCCACTCGGAGGGTCGTCCACACTCAGATTTGCATCGCACAGAATGGCTTCCTAAGCGTGGCTTCCTCTCATTTCTCCTCCTTGTGCCGCTTTGGGGCTTATCTGCTGTTGGGCTGCAGCCCCTGGGAGACGTCGCCCTTGGCCAGGGCACTGCACCTGCGCTGACCTCCCGCTCCTCCCCCCCTGCACCCTCTTCGCTTCTGCACTGGTAGCCTGTGGCCCTGGCGGGGTGCAGAGAATGCTCACAGGGAGTGGGGGAGCCCTAGGGCCACGGGAAAGCCACAGTCGGGTCCCCCCTCAGGACGAAGTCACACACACGAACACGGATCCACCGAGACAGCACACAGAGTCACAGGCGATGCCATACACCCAGGGACACAGCCTGCCTGCCTGGCTGCCACACACACAGTCACACGGCCCCGACACACGGAGCCCCAGCCTGGGCCTCACACACACAGGCCATTGTGTTCCGGCCGAGCCCCCCACGTCCTCCCACCTGCGCCACACCAGCCCCACACCTGCGTGCCCCTCCCCTGCAGGACAGGACAGAGGGCTGGCTGGCCGAGGGCCGGCACTGGGGACTGGCACAGGGACCAGCAGCCAGACGGGGCAGCCCAGCCGGGAGGGAGGCCTCTGAGAAGGGGTTGCCAAGGCAACAGGCTCTTGCAGAACCAACCGGAGCCTTCCATCCTCGGCTCTTATTTTTAGAAGTTGGGCCTGGACTGGTTGGGCGGGCCGGGGGCCAGGCTCCCCAGGCTTCCTGGAGGGCACAGACACCAGCCTGAAGCCCCTGAGGGTTCTGGTGGGCACTGCCTGTGCTGAGGCTTCCTCCACCCTCCCAGGATTGTGCTGCTCTTCTCAGGATCGCTGGGAGTTGGAGTTCCTGCTCCCCTATCTCCTCCCAGCAGCGCCCCCCACCCACCAGCCCCCAGGGAGGGGGCCCCAGCCCGCCCGCCCTTCGCCCTGCACACTGTAGCCTGTTGAAGGCTGGGCTCTAATCTATAGCATGTTGGGGGCAAAGACACCTGCCAGAATCGTGTGGTGTTGTGTGTGAGGCTTGTGTGTATCAGGGGTGAGGGAGTGTGTGGGTGTGCACCATAGGGTGGCTCACACCCCAGCTCTGCCTGTGTGTGTGTGTGTGTGTGTGAATGAGAGAGAGACAGACAGACCCTCTTCCACAGTGTAAAACGGGCCTCCATCCCTCTCAGCCCCACTCCTCACTGCCCCGTCCCTACCCCCGCGTCACCCCATCCTGGAGCTCCTCAAAGTGGGGCAAAGGGCAGAGATGTCAAGTTGGCAGGGGAGCAGGTCCTGTTGGCCGCCTGGTGCAGGCCTTTCCCGTGTCTGAGGACACAGCTTGCGAGGTGGGCAGCAGGGGCGGGGGCAGGGGCAGGGCCGGGCAGGGCCGGGCCGGGCAGGGCTGAGCCGGGCAGGGATGAGCGGCAGCGGGAGCCTGGGGAAGCTGGAGCGAGTTGACTCTGCGGTGACTCCTCCAGCTGCTGGGGATTTCTCCGTTAATCTGGGACTGCTCTGTTTGCATCTCATTTGCCTATATTTGCATAACAAGGGCCTGGCTGGCACCAGAGATCGAAATTCCTGGCCTGGGTAATTGTGTGGAAAAGCCTCCGGGGGCTGAGCAGGAATCCTGGGGGCCAGGAAACTGAGACGAGGAGCCACCCCTCCCTCCCTGATCCCTGGCCGAGGAGAGGAGGGGATGGCTGGGGAACAGAGTGGGAATGGTGACAGGTTAAGAGTCAAGTTCTCCCCAGCAGCGTCCGGCTCCCAGCCTGGAGCTGGGCACAGAAGATTCCCACAGAGGGCGCGGTAGCCTGATTTGGGAAAGTCTGAGTCGGGGTGTAGGGAAGGAACATCTGGCCCCTCCCCCACCTTCAGTCCCCACCAGGCTAGTAAGAGCGACTGGCCCCGCGCAGCTGCGGTCATCCCCCCCACCCCGGCCCCTGGCTTTGGCCACACCTGGACCCTCTTCTGCACAGGGCAGAGGGGACTCAAAGGTCCACAGGGTCATGTCCACCTGGTCATGTCCAGCCCCCTCCTAGGCCATGGGCCACACAGGACCCCACACTTCTCTGCCCAAGCAGCCCTAGGCCAGCTCCCAGGGCTGGTGGGGGTCGGCAGGGGGCTCCTTTCCCAAGGGAATCCTTCCCTCCCAAGCCCAGAGGATGGCTACTTGCCAGGAGTGTGGACCCAGTAGGGACTGGGGTGTTGGGGTGTCCACAGGTGTGCAGCCAAGGCCTTTCATGCTCTAGGCTGGAGCCCAGGGTAGGGCAAGAAGGGCGATGGGTGGTGGGCCAGGGGCCTCCTTTTGTATTCTTGCCCCTTTAGTGCTCAGCTGACCTTGAGCCAGCGACCTGACCTCCCCATGTGCCCCAAGCCTGGTTAGTAGTGGTCCCTGTCTCTCAGAGGCGACGTAGAGATGCACCGAGTTAATTCACAGGAAGCACTTAGGACAGCGCCTGGCACAGAGCACGGGCGGGTAAGTGTTGGCTACTATTATCTATTATCCTGGGATTTGGCTTTTTCCTCCCAGTTGCAGAGGAAGCTTCTCTCATTTCAAGAAACTGAGCAAGACCATGGGTGAGACCACCCCTCCACCCCAGCCACCTGCTTCTTCAGGGCCCACACCCCTCTTTCTCCACCCCAGTTCCTGCACCCCAGGCCAGGATACCAGGGGGCAGTGATTTGCTTAATGTCCTTAACGCATTAAGTCCCGAGTTTTCAACGCTGGACTATTTCAATGACATAACACTTACTTCAAAGTTACCGTAAGTAGTATATTGCTCGATTTAAGTCTTTATAGGGGCCTGTATATAGGGTGATGGGATATAATGGACGATTTCTGAATGAAGGGGTGAACAAATGAGTGAATGAAAAAGAGTTGGGGTGAAGAAAAGCCAACAGCAGCTGGCTCAACGCACACAGGGAAGACTGACAGGCGCAGGCTTTGGCTTCGGGACCCCCCAACACCTGCCTTCCTGCCGGGCAGGGTTCTCTGTGGTTTCCTTGCATGGGAAGAGGGAGGCTGAGAGGGGATGGCGGGCCTGCCTGGGCCCCCCTGCAAGGCTGGCCCTGGCTTTGATGAGTGGCTCAGCCCGGGGTCTGTGGCAGTGGAGGGCGAGTACCCACCTGGGAAGGGGGTCTCAGCGGGTCCCGGCTCAGAACTTCCACCCTGCCCCATCCTGGTCAGGGCGGGGTCTGGGGCAGATGTTGGGGAGCTTCCTTACCTCCTGAGTTGCTCGTCCCCGCCCCTGCAGAGCCAGGCCTCAGTGCGCCCGCCTGTCAGCCCGTGGGTTAGCGGTGACCGAGGGCTCCCCTGGGATCTGTCAGCTTCCACAATCTGGCCAGGCCAGGGTTGGGGGAGGAGGGATTGTCACAGGGCGTCCCTCCTCCCTCCAGGGCCTCAGGCCTGGTGCTGAGGCTCATCACCAAGGCAATGGTGGTTGGGCAGCTGGGAGGGCAGGTGGGCAGGTGTGCGTGCTCGGGCGGCTGGCGAGCCTGTGCGTGGTGGCCTGAGTGTGACTGTGAGCAGCATTTTCTGTCTGTATTCATGGCTGTCGGGTTCAGGCGTCTGCAGGGCTGTAGCTGGGGCTCCTGCACTGTGGGGCCCAGGCTGTGGGCTGAGTGTCCAGTGCCAGCCCCGGGGGTTTCCCTGAGAAGCTGCAGGTGCAGGCAGGGGTGGGAGGGGTCTCCCCTGGGGACAAAAGCTGTGGCTTTGAGGGGCATGCTCGGTGAATCCCTGGCCTGGTTTCAGTCAGGACGACTTGACCCGCAGGTCCATTCGCTGGGGAGGACCCGAGGCAGCCAGGAGTGCCCAGCAGCCCCGACTCTCCCCTGGCCCCATCCCAGGCTCCCCAGCGAAGCATCCTGCAGAGACCCCTCCCCCATCCCCACCAACCCAGCACAGAGAGCAGGGATGCCGGCATGGGCACTGACAGTAGCATACGTGAAGCAGACTCCCACAGGTGCCGTCACAGCCCTGCCAGACACAAGCACACGGACATACAGCCCCGCACACAACACGGCAGCCACACAGGTGGGCAGCACATGCCTATTTACATGCGGGTACACGTTCCTACAAGGGCGCACAGGCCGAGAGCCACATGTCTGCAGCCAGGCGTGCACACGGTGTGTGCACAGTCCCGTGCCAGGCATTCCTTCCCACCCTCGCCCTGGTTCTCTGTGCCCACCCCCGGCTGCAGCCCTCACTCTCAACAGCCCACCCCTGGATCGAAGGAGGGCGAATGTCCCTTGCCTACGTGACCCCATGAGCCTACATGTCTACATTGTACACGTGAGTGTCTTGGACCCTGTCTCTGGAAGCCTGCGTGGCTCCAGCTCTGTGTAAAACAGGGAGTATCTCCACGTGACACCGTGGGTGTTCTCCCATGGATGTCTGCTGCATTTCGGGAGGGGTTTTCGGGTGTCTGCGTGCACTCATCTGTTTGAATGTGTGAGTGACAGTGGGGGAGGGGCTGTATCTGCGTGACGGCAGCTTGCGGGCCCTCTCTCTATGTACGTCTGGATGCGGGTGTCTCTGTGTGCATTTGCTTATTTGTGCGTGTCCCATGGACTCCGCAGTCTGGCTGAACTGGTATCCACCACCCGCAGAGGCTGTGGCCGAGGGTGGGGCCGGGTGGCACTGGACTGAATCCCCCAGCCATTGACAGTCGTATTTACAGAGCTCTGAGTAGGACGTAATTGCTTCTATTAATCTTTCTCCGGTTGTTAATTGCTCACTTATCGGGTTGTGTATTATGCCGACTGTTGCTCTTAATTCGCCTCCATAGCTGCAGGTGTTTGCTGCCTTATTAACTGTTAATTGGCGCGGCTAGGGATAGAGACTTAATTGGCCCCCAGAGTGGGACACAGGCGGGCCGGCCGGGCACTGCCACCTTCTCGGCCTGTCCGGGGAACTCTCACCTGTGCAGAACAGGTGGCTGCCGGGGAGGGACTGGCCCACTGCCGCCCACCGGCAGACAGCAGCCCTGCGCTCAGCAGTCAGGGTGACAGCCTCAGAGTAAGGCCCTCCTGCAGTGCAACCTCCTCCAGGAAGCCAACCGGCCACTCAGAACCCAGCTCCTGGACCCTCCGCCAGCACCAGCATCTTCCTCACCCCGACAGCAGCCAGCGTCGTTTAGCCCAGGTACCTGAACCTGAGGACTAAGAGACGGCAGGGAAACTGGTGACGCCCCTGCCACAGCTCCCCAGACCCAGGCAGTCAAGGTGGTTAAGGTTATGGAGACTGGGAGAAAGGAGGGAAGGAAGGAGCTTCCTCCAGGGGAGAGAGAGGCTTCGAGTGGACCCAGGAAGGACGCCCCAGCGATCCAGGAGGCCTCTGCTGCAGCCAAGGTGAGCGCGAGGACTTCCAGCTCACTGCGCCATCCCAGCTCTGCCTCTGCTTGTACAGCCCCCAGAAGAGGGCGTTCCCTCCCCCCACGGCACTGCTACACAGCCACGGTGCTGAGAGGCTTCCCTGTGATGAGCCGACTCTAGCCCTGCTGGTCCACAAAGGGGAAACTGAGGCCTGGAAAGGACAAGGGAGTGGTCCCTGGCGGTAAGAGCCCAGACATGCGGCTCCGAAGCCCAGTGGCTGCCCTGCCCTCCGGGCAGCCCTGCTGCACAGGCCGGCTCAATCCTGGGGTTCTCTCTCAGGCCCCACCTCCTGGCCCCACTCTTCCAGTCTCCTGCCTTCAGCGACCTCAGACTTCTGGGAAATGTAAATGGGGTGGGGTGGGGGTGCACCCTGGGCCCACCCAGCCCCCAGCCTCCAAGAAGGAAAGACAGGCAAACCAGGGGCCATCACCACGTCTGGAAGTCCAGTGTCTTAAGCTGCGAAGGCAGCCGACTTGCTTTGGCTGGATTCTGATAGGTCAGCTGGACTCTCCACAGGGCGGAGCCACCCTTGAGAGCCTACTGTGTGCCAGAGCAGCAATGAGCGTTTCTAAAGCACCGCCTTTAACCCTCCCATGACTTGGTGAGGCACAGAGGAGCATTAACAGAGGAGGAGGCTGGCGGTGGAGAGGGGAACTGACAGCCAGCAGAGGGTGGAGCCGGGGTTCCTTCCCTCAGGGATACCTGGCCAGATTTATGCCAACAGTTCAATAAGGGGACACTGGGACTGGGTACCGGGGTCACCATCAAGGTCACCCACTCACCTTCAGTCTAGACCGTGGATATCCCAAACGCTCACACGTGCGCAGCCCACGTGCCCATCAGATGGGAAACTGTCCAGGGATAGTTGCCCAAACAAGTTCCTGCTCCACCTCTACCCGAATAATATGCAGATATATGTAAATTTGCACAAGCGACCGCCCAAACCTTTGGGAGCAATGGGGTGACAGAGAAGTAGTTGCTATGGCAACCCCAAAGCGACACTCCCCTCCACCCCTCTCACAAGCAGGCACAAAGACACGTGCACAAAGACCCAGGGATCCTCGCTCCCTCGCCCAGAGGATCACTGAGCGGCAGAGGGTGTGACCCGGGAGGGCCCTCAGGGTCAGCTTCCAGCCAGGGAGGCTGAGACCCAAGCAAGTCTCCGGGAAAGCAGCGCGATCCCCGAAACCCACGGTGCTGCTCGGCCTTTCCAGTCCCAACGACTCCTACTCCGGCCTAGCAACGCGAACCCTGCCCAGCGTTGCATAGCAACGTCCCTCGAGCCTAGCAACCACCAGCCACGCCCCCTAGCAACGTCGGGCCTAATCCTCCCTCCTGGGGACCAGGGCCAAAAGGCGGATGTGGGGGTCGCTCCCCAGCCTCAGATTCCAGGCCGGCTGCAGAGTTCTGGGGTTTGCTTCTGCGGGCGGGGAGTGACAGAGACGCACTAGGAGCCTCAAAGGAAGTCGCTGCCCAGAGGCCAGAGCCTGTTCTTCCCTGCGGGCCTCCGCGACTCCCTGGGAGGAAGCCCTGGGCCCCGCCTCGCCAGCCCAGGCAGCGTTGGGAAAGCCACCCAAGTTGCGGGCTCGGCCGGATCTGCAGGCTTGCATAGTAATTTGCGTCATTTGCATACAGCGCGGAGGCTGTGGCGCTCCCTTACCCCTCGGAGTCAGAAAAGTTCCCGAAGGAGCTCCGTCCCCTCCCCGGTTCCCCTGTCCTGTTCCTCCGCGCCACCGGTACCCGTTAGCGGCACCGCACCCCCGCCCTCCCTTGCAGCCCCTTCCTTAAGCTCCTGCACCCCGCCCCGCCCCCCGCTCAGCCTGGCGCCTGCCAGCCCCGACCTCCATCCCAAAGCCGAGGGCCCCCTCTGCTGTCGGCCGCGGGTAGGGCAGCCGCAGAGCTCCTGGGGCAGAGAGGAGGGGCTCCCGCCATCGCCCATCGCCCCACCCTCCGAATTCCGGAAGGATCCAGGGGGTAAGGGTAGAGTCCAGAAGGAACGGGCAGGAGCGGCCATCCCCTCAGGCCCTGCTTGCCCACACTGGGCTGGGTGCTCGGGGGCAGCTGCTTCCCAGGCCGGTTCTCTTGAGGTGCACCCCACACTGAGTAGCTTTATGGCTGCAGTTGCTAGGAGAGCTCACTGCAGGCGCAGGGCAAGCCAGCACCCGCCAAGTGTCACAGCAGCCTGCAACCACCCCGGCTGCCCTCCCCCACACCAAGACCCCCGACTTGCTCCAGTACCGGTTCTGGGCGCTCGCAAAGGTACAGCCAGGAGCCTCTATCCAGATCGCCCAGTTTCAGCAGAGGCCTCCGCAGAGCCCTGCACACAGACACACAGGCACATACACTCACAGGGACACGCACTCACAGGGACACGCACAGACGCACACAGAAACGCAAAAGTACAGGGCAGGGGAGCATTGTGCCCCCACATGCCACCTCAGTCCAGCGGGAAAAGTCTAGGTAAACGAACACCTTAGAAACCACTGTCCCCTGCTGGCCCTCTTCTCCCTAGCAATCCTTAGGTGTCCCTGGCCCTCTGTTCATTCCCCTTACCCCCACCCGAGTCCTGACTTCTCCACCCACCACCTTCTCTTCTTCCTCCTCCTCCTCCTCCTCCACAATACTCACAAAATACTCATAGGGGCCACCGCGGCGACATCTGTGTCCCAGGCTCAGGGCTGGTTCAGGACCTCCAGCCTGCAGCTGGCAGGGCTGCACAGCCCTAGCCCCCAAAACCTGACCAGACGCGGGTCGCTCCTGCCTAGAGCCAGCTAACAGAATGACAACTTTGACAACTTCTTTATTGAACCAAAAATCAACACCAAACAAACTCAGGAACAGGAAACTGAAATAGGGCAGGTGGGGCACGCTGACCCTCCCCTTCCTCCTCCCCCATCTTCCCCTGGAGCAGTTGAGGGTTCAGCACTGGGGAGGGCGTCTCCAACCCGTTCTGGTGGGTAAGGAGGGTCACCCCTCTCCAGGGAGGGGACCCTCACAGCCAGCCCCATCTATAGGGCCCAAAGAGGAGTCAGGGGCTGAGCCAGGGAGTCCTGGAGCTGCCGGGGGCCAGCAGAGGTAGCTGAGCGTCCCGGGGGCTGCAGGGGGCTGACCAGATGCGGCAGAGGAGCTGGGACAGGGCTCCTGGCCTGGGGGCATCAGGGAGGCTTGGAGCTGGTGACTCACCGTCACCAGGGACTGCAGGTGCTGCAGCAGGGCTTGGTGGGGACAGGAAGCCCTGTGGAGGTTCTGAAGATTCGGGAGGCCAAAGCCACGGCCTCCCGGTGCTGCTGACCAGGAGTGCCGGGACTGGCACCAGCCTGGTTCTGGGGGCTGCTGTCCTTGTCCAGGACCCTGCCAGGTTCCAGGCTCTGCCGACAGTCTCCCCCTGCCTCCGGGGACCCTCTGCCAAGCAAAGGCGCCCCTGGGAGCCAGGCTGCCCCTGCCCTGGGCCTGCTGCAGGGCGCCCCCTGGGGCAGGGGAGCCCTTCGGGGCCACCTCTGGCCGCCTGTCCTCTGGCTGGTAGCACCTCGTCTCCACTTTCCTGTTGAAGGAAACCACCTTGCGGAGCTTTCCCCACAAGGGGCTGGCGGCGGCTGTATCTGGAAGCCCCTCCTTGGGGAGCAGCACGGCCAGCAACAGGCTTGAGTGAGTGGCTTCCAGGCCTGGGAACAAAGGAGAGGAAGAGGGATGGGGAGACCCGAGGCCTGGCGGGGAGAGCACGGAGCCCCCAGGGTGCGTTCTGGCTGCAGCAGGTGTGCAGGTCGGATCCTGAGAGCCCAGGGACAGCTGGGGCCCAGGAGGTGACAGGAAAGAGGCTGTGAGCCCCTGGCTGAGGAGGGCATGGATGGTTTGCCCTCAGGACCAGGGGGCTTCAAAGTCTACCTCATTGTTCTAGGAGACCCAGCCCAGAAGGGTCATACCCTGCATGCACGAGCAGGCGCAGGCCCAGTGCCCCCACCCTCACCCCGCAGGTGCCTTCCTGAAGCTGCACTTGGCTGGGGGGGCGGTATCCAGGCACAGAGGCCACGCCTGACCCAGCACAGCGATGGTGAAAACCCCTCCCTCTGTCTTAGATGACATTTCCGTCAACTGTGGGTCCTGCACCAGGGTCAAATGGGGCTATCCCAGGAGCTGCTATTCAGAGATGCCTCCTGGAGAGGCAGGATGGTAAGGTGGTTAGTGCCCAGTTTCTGGAGCCAGGTTGCCTGGGCCTGAAGCCTGGCTCTGCTATGGACGGGCTGTGGGACCCTGGGCAAGTCCTTGCCTTCTCCCTACTTCAGTCTCCTCATCGGTGAAATGGAGACTCTAACAGTACCTCTCTGACAGGGCTGTCTGGAGACCCAAACAGTTCCTGTACTAAAGCTTTTAGAAGAATGGCTGACATCCGGGGATGAGCTCTCCTTGCTGCTCTTACCCCACCACCAGGAGTTCCCTTCTGAGATGTCCCGGCTTCCCCTCTTTGAGACACAGGTGGCCGTGTCAGTCTGGTCACCAAGAGAGGGGAGGCAAAGCCAGCATCGTGGCACAGTGGGTTGAACCACAGCCCGCAACGCCGGCATCTCACATGGGCACCGGTTCGTGTTCCGGCTGCCCCACTTCCGATGGCTAATGGCCTGGGAAAGTAGCAGAAGATGGTCCAACTGCTTGAGCCCCGGCACCCACATGGGAGACTCGGATGAGGCTCCTGGCTCCTGGCTTCAGCCTGGCCCAGCCCTGGCCACTGCAGCCATTTGGGGCGTGCACTAGCGGATGGAAGACCTCTTTCTTTCTCTCCACAGGCCCCCTGCCCCCTGTTCTGTAACGCTTTCAAATAAATAAATATCTCTCTAAAAAAAAAGAGGAGAGTCTGGTATTGGCACCGAGGCACTCACCTGGGCCTCCCAGGGGGCGCAGCCTGGTGGGCAGGGGCTGGAAAGCAGGCAGGGGCAGCAGGACCACGCCCACCTGCTGCACAGCTGCCAGGCCGTGGCGCTGCTTGTTGTTGAGGTAGGAGTAGAGCAGGCGGCAGTTCTGGGTATCCCGAGCCCCGTGTGGGCACAGTCTGATCACGCACGTGTCCTGTGGGGTGCACAGAGCAACTGAGGAGCCACTGCCCTCTGTCCCTGTGCACACCCCCGGTGCCAACCAAGCCTCTGAGAACCCTGTGAGGAAGTGGGTCCCACTTTACAGAGGAGGAAGCTGAGGGACCTGCTCGGGGCCACACAGGCCCAGCTATCTCGAGCCAGGCCTCAGCTGCAGAGCAGAGAGTGAGGGAGAGGGCTAGGGTGCCAGAAGAGGGTGCCCAAGAGGGGGCAGTTACCTTGGCCTTGGCTGGGTCGATGCTGGCCAGAAGGTCCCAGATGGTGTTGGGGGGGATGCAGCCTGCTGAGCGCAGGACCTCGGGCAGAGCCTGGGGGCCGGGCAGGCCAGGCAGTCAGCCCCCAGCTTCCCAGCCGCTTGGCAGATGGTGTTCCGGAACCCTAAGTGCCTGGCGTGGCCAGTCTCTGGCACCTCCCACCCTCGTCCAGCAGGTCAGCTGATGGTTTAGTCGCTAAAACCCCCCTCAGGCCCAGGGAGGCACCAGCCTCCTCTGCGGGGGCGCTTCTCGCATTACTGGGAGCCCTCCACCCTGTGTGTGTCTGCAGGAACAGGGCTGGCATCTCACCTGCACCCACGCCTAGCACAGGGTCAGGCAGGCACAGAAAGGGGCCAGCGCCTTGTTTTAGAATTAGTAACACAACGAACGGACCAGTGAATGGACAGGAGTGACAGTGGATGATGGGGAGCAGCGTGCGGGGGAGTCCCTGGGGAGCAGGGCAGGTGCACCTGGATGAGGTGACAGCTGTGTCCCAAGACCAGCTGGGCCGTGACCCGGAACCGCTTGATGGAGAACATGTCAAGCGCACCCTCCCAGGGCGGCTGGCTAGGCAGGGCCTTTGTGGGTGCAGCGGGCACCTGGGGCCTAGAGGAACAGAGAGACAGGGCTAGGCAGAGAGTCAGGGCTCCCCCAGCACCTCCTTTCTCTTCAGAACAGCTCCTGCATCCCCACGGTGGGGACACTGTTCCACACCTGGTCTTGCACAGGGGGACCAGCAGGACAGGCGATTCGACGCCCCCATTGCATGGACTGGGTGACAGAGGCACACAGACAGAAAAGCCCCTCCCGCATCTGCTGCCCCATCTGGGGGCCGCTCCCGCCAGCCCTGCTGAGTTGCCCAACTCCCGGCTCCCTGTCCCGCACCTGTCCCGGGGCTTCGGGGGAGGTGTCTCCCTGGCTTTGGGCGTCTCTGTGGTGGCCACGGGAGCTGGGCTTGGGGCTCTCTGGAAGACACTGTGCTTGCCGTTGCTGGTGGCTTTGAAGAAGCCTGGCAGCTCACTTGCGGGATCCCAGTCTGCAAAGAGCAGGGGCAGGAACTGAAGCAGGACAGGCAGGAAGAAAAAACGCTGGCGTGTCCTAAAAGCCAGGGTTTGAATCGGGTTCTTTTTAAGGTGCCCTGGGGCACAGACATCCCCACTCTGCCACCGTCTCCCCAGGCCACCCGGCCCTGGCCCCAGCCTGCCCACCGCCCGGGGCTGTGTCCCCCGCACCCATGCAGATGCGGCAGTGGGGGTCCAGGAAGTGGTGCTCGTGCTGCTCCGTGGTGTCCTCGGCCGTGGCAGGCAGGGCTGGAGAGCTGCTGCAGTCCACGGACACCAGGGATCCCTGGAAAGCAGAGGAAAGAGGCTGGGAGTTGGGAGGCCTCCCCAGGGAGGCAGCCTCGGGGACGTGGTTTATTTCATTTCCTCAATAAGATATACAAATATATATATATATAAATTACAAAAATACCATGAGGAATGAGGATTTGGCGCAGGGTTGAAGTCCGCATCCCACACGGGAATGCCTGGGCTCAAGTCCTGGCTCTGCTTCCAATTCCAGCTTCCTGCTAATGCACACCCTGGGAGGCAGCAGGTGACAACTCAAGTACTTAAGTCCCTGTCACCCATGTGGGAGACCTGGGTTGAGTTTCTGGCTTCTGCTTCAGCCTGGCCATTTGGGGAGTGAACCAACCAACTAACTAACTAACTAAACAAACAAATAAATAAAATACTCAGGGGCAGGAGCGGGGGGCTGGTGCCAGGAAGCCTGCTGAGACAGCGCAGGGGCGGTCAGCCCTCTGACTATGGGCCTCAAGGGACCACAGAGGCTGCAGAGGTCTGCAACCAAGAGGACTAGAACGTTCACAGTACACTGTCCAGCAACTCAGTGTACTCACCCCCCCCCCAAGGAAATTAGTTTAAAAATCTGTAAAATACAAGAAATTATTGAGGATGAAAATAACATGAATTACCAAAAAATATCTGTAAATACTGTGAACTTAGAAAATTTTGAAAAGTACTGAGAAATATTTTAAAAAGCACCCCTTGTCCCACCACTCAGAGACAACTGTGGGCAGCCTGGGCTTCCTGTACCCGTTTTCCTGCACACGGGGCCGCCTGGGGGCCTTTCACAGAACTGCTGGGCTGAGCACTCAGCTGTCCAGCCACCTGCAGGTTATCCGCTCCCCGTGGACACTGTACCGAGAGCTGCAGTGTGTGCGCCACCCCCACTGCTCGGCCACTTCCAGGTCACCACCATTGCAAACAGAGCTGTGCAGGAAGCGTTTTCCTAAACTCTCAACTTACTTCCTTAGGACAAGGCCTCAGAAGCAGGTGATGGAATCAGCAAGACTGAACCTTTTAAAGACTCCTGGGGTGGGTGTTTGGCACGGTTAAGACGCCCACATTCCATATTGGAGTACCTGGGCTCGAGTCTCAGTTCCGTTTCAACCCGGCTCCCTGTTAATGCACCTGGGAAAGCACTGGAAGATGGCCCAACTGCTTGGGCCCCTGCCATCCAAGTGGGAGACCCAGATGGAGTTCCAGCCCCTGGCTTCAGCCCACACCAGCCCTTGGTGTTATGAGTGTTTGGCAAGTAAGTCAGCGGATGGAAGGTCTTGCTCTCTGTCTCTCCTCTGTCACCTAGCCTTTCAAATAAGTAAACCTTTTAAAAAAATAAGACTCTCGATGCCCATTGCCAAATCACTTTTTTTGGTAACAGAAGTGGCTTTAAATACAACGCCAGCACTGCTTTAGGAAGACTGAAGACGACTTTGAAACTGCCTCCCGCCTCACAGACACCTGCACAGCAGGGCTGCCGCTCGGGCCCAAGTCACACAGCTGCGCTCAGGTCTCGGCCGGCCACCATCCACTAGGCGACTATGGGGCAAATGCCGCTGGGTCCCTCATCCTGGAAAGGGACGTGGTGACAGCACCCACCCATCGGGCACTGTGAGGGCTGAATGAGGCACTGTTTGTGAAAGAGACACACAGAGGGTGTTCGGCGCTCTCTCCCCCACCCCTGCCCTGCCATCTGCTCTCTCCCCCACACTCCTGTGCTGAGGTCTCCCCAGCTTATTTAGGGAACACGTCAGCCATCCCAGCAAGGGTCCCCTCTGCAGAGGCCATGTCTCTCCTGGTTGCTGGCAGTGGGAGGGGGAGCAGGGGTCTCTGTCATGTTCACCGCCTAGAGCTGCGCCTGCCAACCAGAAAGGGTTTGAGTGAACAAGTGACTCAAGGGCTGGCCCTACACCCTTCTCCTGGGCACACAGCGTGGCAGAGCGGGATGAACACAGGACCCATGCAGGGGCCAACCACAGCCAGAGTGGCCTTCTTCTGAGAGTGACAGGTGGGAGCTGCGGGAGGCTCGGGCACAGGCTAATGGGACCTGAGGCTGCTGAGCCACTGTGCCAGGTGCCCCATGGAGGAGGAGGAGCCTCAGGGGGGGAGGAGCCTCGGGGAAGGAGGAGCCTGGGGGAGGAGGAGCCCTGGGGGAGGAGGAGCCTGGGGGAGGAGGCTGCAGGGTACACAGAGCAGATTCCCAGTGACAAGAGGAGACCCGGACTCCAGTCACTGCCATTGGCTCCAGGACCCAGGGTCAGCTCCTACAGCCCTGGGCACTGGGTTGTCCCTGTTTGGGGCACCTCTGAACCAGTCCGCTGAGGACGGGGAGCCTCTGTTCCTCACTCAGAAAGACCACTGCCTGGACCAGTGTGGCCCCCCCGGTTCCCAGCCAGAGATCTGGCAAACGGCTGTGCTGGAGATGACCGTGTCATAGGACTTAGCACCACTCACGTCACTCACGGCCTTGGGGTGAGGCCAAAACCTAGAGGCCCGCGCCGGCAGCTCTGTCTCGCTGGATGGGCCCTGGGCCCTGGGCCGAGGATCACTGTCCCCGCTCACCATGAGCAAGGCGGACTTCAGAGCAGCCAGAGGACCTGCGCGAGGCTGTGAGGCTGGCAATGGGGGGGACTCTGGGCACGGGTCCTGCTAGCCCGAGCTCAGACTCCCACTTACCACCAGGTCCTCCAGGGCCAGTGTCTGGTCGAGGTCCCGCGGGATCTCGACTTCTCCCTTGTGGGTCAGCTTGGAGGCTGGAAGGCTGCTCAGCTCCTTCTGCTGCTGCTCGATGACCTCCAGGACCTGCAGAGGTGGCGCAGCCAGGCTGGGGTCTGGGATCCCGCAAGCCCAAGGAGGCCCCTCGCCTGCGGCTCCCCTTCCACGCCAGGCCTGTCCACACTTTGCTTCTGCCATTCCTTTTACCCTCAGCCCTGCCTCTCCACATTCCATCCACTCACTCTTCAATTCACTTCTCCTCCAGGGAGCCCTCCTGGACTCGCCTTTCCCCACTAATCAGTTCTGCCTCTGACTGTACCTCAGCTTTTGCCCTGAGGAGTGTACAATGTAGGGGAAATGGTGCAGGCTCAGAAGCCCGGCTGGGTGGCTACCAAAGACTCACAGGTACACGGCCTTGGACCAGCACCTCGCTGAGCAGAGCCACAGGCGAGCTGTCCTCTGGGGCTAATCAAGGACCTGAGTGACACAATCCCCTGCCTGGTTTGTCTCTACAAAGCCACCTGCTTTGCCTTTCCAAGGAGCCCTGGCGGGTGGGGGGCCAAGCCCTCCTGGCAGGGCCCTGGCAGGTGGGGGGCCAAGCCCTCCTGGCAGGGCCCTGGCTTCCCAGGGCCCCAGGCTTAGTTGAAAGTTCTGCTGTTGTCACCTGGCAATTCTTATTCATTGAACAAAGGGTCCGCAACTTCAGGTTGTGCTGGTCCCAGCCCCGCCCCTACTTATGTAGCCAGTCTTGCTCCTTGGCCGCCCACAGGGCCAGCACAGAGGCTCAGCGCATGGTGGACCGATTCACCCAATGGGCTCCAATCATTCGCTCTAACCAGTCCAGTGGCTTCCAGGGCCTCATGCCCAGCCCCATCCCAGCGGCCCTGTCCCTGCCCCTTCTTCTCTCACCGGCCACCTGGCACCAGGCCAGGATTTCCAGAGCCTGCTCAGTGCTGCACCTGCCTGCCCCAGAGCAGTGCCCAGACAGGGAGAGAGCCATGGACGCAGGGCATGCTGGGGCACAGCTGTGAGGTGCAGGGCCTGTGGAGCACCCCACCTGAGCCTGGGCCACCAGGAAGACCCCATGCAACCATTTCTGGGCCTTCTGAGGATTGGAAGAGAGGGGGCCCTGGGGTGTCCCCCATGGGTGGCCAATGCCCACCCTGGACTCCAGAGGCTGGGCCGTCACCAGGACCCGCCCCACAGGCCCAGCTGCACACGACACCCGGTGTCAGCTCCCTCCAGAGCCCTCCGACCTCAAGCCCTTTCATTTTGGCCTCTTTTCCTCCTACTTTCCTCCTGGGAGGCTCTCTCTGGCCCCCTACACACCCTCCCTGACTTCTCTGCTTCTCATTCCTTTGTTCCTGTCCCTGTCCCTCTCCCCGCCACGTCCTGTGGCCTCTCCTGCCGTGGCTCTCAGCTCACCCTTTTCTCCTCCTGGTCCCGCCAGCGGGACAGCTCTTGGGGGGCCAGCTGGATGGAGCTCATCCGCACCAGGTCATGGGGGGTGACTTCGCCTTGAACCACTTTGAGAAAGAGGTCCTGCAGGGGCGGGGGCCGGAGCTGCACCGCCTGCTCCGACACCCCCACCCCGACATCCGCCCGGGGGCTGGGCCACCTTGGGGAAGGGCCAGCCCCACTCACTGGGTTCCTGGGGTCGCGCAGGTTGAAGAGCAGGCTGCGGTACTTGGTCTTGTAGCGGCAGTTGGTGCCTTGTGTGAGGGCGAACAGGGCGGCCTCGATGCCCATGGCAATGGCCTCCACTGCCTCCTCGCTCAGCACCAGGTCGGGAAGCTCCTGAAGGCTGTGGGCCAAGGGCAGGGCAGTGGGCACTGAGCCCAGGGTGGGGGGGTTGCCAGCATACCTGGGCCCCAGGGATGCAGGGGCACTGGTTTTTCTGCAGGAGCCCGGTAGTTCTCTCTCAGCCTGAGGAGGAGGCATCCACTGTCCACTCTCGAGGGGCAGCGAGGCCAAGACCGGGGCCTGCCCAGCACCACGCCCCAGGGCCAAAGCAAGCCTGGAACCCAGCGCCGCCTCGCTCTTCAGCCCCTGCTCTGGGATGCAGCGGGCTCCGGCTTACCGACTCCTCAGCGCCTCGTGGATGGCACGGACCACGGTGCCTTGGACCGCCAAGTCCAGCGGGAGCCTCTCCTGCTGGAGCCGAAGCTGAACTGTGGGGAGACAGCCACAGACGCCGGGTGGGGAAGGGGGTGCCCAGGCGGTGGGGGCAGGGCAGGATCGAGGCGGAGGATTCAGGGAGGCAAGGAGGGGGCCCCGCCCTCAGAGGCCTGGCCGCCCCCAAGCCCCACCCCGTAAGGCAAGGACTACAGGCTGATGGGGCAGAGCGGGGGCCCAGCAGCCTCGGGCAGCCAGGAGGCGGCTGGCAGGGGTGTCCACCGACCTTCACCCGAGCCCTCTGCTCCCTCGGGTAGGGCGTCCTCTGTTTCAGCCTCTGGTGGGCCGCACTGTGGGGACCGATGAGGAACCTCTGGCCCAGGGGACGCAGCTTTCCCAGTCACCACCCCACCCCCACGCGCTCCAGGGGCCGCCACTCTTATGTCCCCGACACCCAGCCTCAGAGCTGGGCTCCCTGAGGGGCAGAGCTCGGCTTCTTGGGGGATAGGAAAGGTTAGAGAGGCCCCCGGAGTCCCGGAGTTCAGGAGGTGCCTGGAAACCTGGGGGCAGCAGCTCAGGATGGTCAGTCCAGCCCTCTGTCCTCCGGTCCAGCCCTGGAGTCCTGCAGCACAGGCCACAGGGGATCCGGAGCCCAGGTTAGCCCACCAAACAGGAGCTAACCCATGTCTGGCCATTCGGCAGTGTGACCATGAGCAAGCCGCGGCACCTCCCCGAGCCTCAGCGGCCTGTGCGTCATGCGAAGGGGCCTCTCCCTGCAGGACCAGGGACCTCACCTGAGCAGGAAGCCTGCTCTGTACCTGGCAGCCCGCAGGGCCCCGAGCCAGGGACCTTTCCTTCCGTCTGCGCCGTCGGGCAGGTGAGGCCGAGCTGACTTCCATCAGGTCCTCCAGGGCCTCCGGCTTTGGCGGCAGCTGGCCCCCTGCCGGGCGATGGCTGACAGCCCCCAGGAGCTGGAGCACTGCCCCGGGCCCCAGCTGTGGGAGACACGAACCCTTCAGAGCGAGCCCTTCCCCGTCAGCCTCCTCGCCTCGCCTGGAAGCCCTCTTGGGGCTGCAAGCTCCAGCCCAGGGAACAGGGCTGGCTCGGCCCCTCTGTGTCCCCCAGGCCTGGAAAAGGCTCGCCACACAGCAGCACTCAGCAGGCATGTCTGTCCTCCTCCCACCGGCTCACCTTCCTCTGCAAGGCCAGCCACAGTCAGAGGCATCTGGACCCCGGGCCAGGGCCCTTCCTCCGGTCCTGACCGGAGACGCACCTCATCAGGATGGACACACCCTGTTCTGACGCCCCCTCCCCCTGCTCAAAGCTCTGCGTTGTGTTTTTTGGGGGTCACTGGCTGCTCTTGCTCTCTGCCCCTCTCCTGAAGCAGCTCCCCGTTTCCCTCTGAGGCCCTGGAGAGAATCTCTTTGTGACCGATTTCAAGGCAAAGAGCAGCTTTTGGTCTTCTCGTGAGCTACAGAACCTGTCCTGCTCCCCTTTTTACTATGGCTGCCAGGAAGCTCAGGGTTCATGCAGAGCCTTCCAAGACTGACAGAGGGTGAGGAGTTGTTGTAACAAGATCTCCTCTCCCAGGGCCGGCACTGTGACATAGCAGGTAAAGCCACCAAAGCTACCACCTGCAATGCCGCTTCCCATACAGGCGCCAGTTTGAGTCCCAGCTGCTTCACTTCCAATCCAGCTCCCTGCTAATGTGCCTGGGAAAGCAGAAGAGGATGGTCTAAGTGTTTGGGCCCCTGCACCCACATGGGAGACACAGAAGTAGCTCCTGGCTCCTGGCTTCAGACTTGCCAGCTCCAGCCATTGTGGTCATTTAGGGAGTGAACAAGCGGATAGAAGATATCTCTCTCTCTCTCTCTCTCTCAACTCTGCCTTTCAAATAAGTAACAACAAAAAATCTTAAAAAAAAAAAAAAACAGGTCCCCTGTTGCTTTCTGGCTTTCTCCTGACCTTTACCCCACTGTAAGCGTGGATTCTTTTCACGACTGTGAAGCACAGGGAATTGTTTTGAAGACAGCTTCTGGAATGAATCGCCTTGGTCCTAAGGTTTGAGGGAAACTGGAAGTCTGAGAAGCAGCATCACGGTGGGGGAGGAGGGCAGGCTGGGGCACCAGGACAGCTCCCTGCAGGGGACCCCTCCCACCCCACCGCACCCAAGGAGGGGAGGAGAAAAGGTAGTATATAGCGAAAGTGAAACCTACTAGGTAACACACAAGCTTCACACCACTGGGCCTGTCCACCTTGTCCTTGGAGAGAAAGAGGACGCACAGGTTAGAATCTAACGGAGCAGGGACCCCAGGCAGGGAGTCCTCAGGAAGAGGACACTTCCCGAAAGGGACTGCTCAGTGCTCACTGGCATTTAACACCCCGAAGTTGGAGACGAGCCAGTGTCCATCAAAGAGAGATGGTTAAAAGATGGTGACACCTCCTGCAACACCTTCTGTGTGACCGGTACAAAGGGCGGGGGAGTCACGATGAGAATGACCACTCTCCGGGGGCTTCAGCACCTCACACAGGGTCTCCCTAAGGTCTCCCATTTCCAGGTGGGCAGACCAAGGCTCCCGGAGGTTCAACAAGGTCCTACAGCCCGGGAAGTGCAGGCTCAGGATCAGAACCCACCCCCGTCGACAGCAGAACCCCAGCTCCTGACGGCTGGGCGGTGCAGACACAGAGAGGCCCGCGGGCAGACACCATGGCGTGTAGTTGGGAGAAGGAGAGAGAAAAATAGGTTAGGGAGCAGTGTGTGTTGCATAAGCCCATTTATGTAAATACATATTTATAGATGCATAATGGAGGTTCTCTCTGGGGAACGAAATTCCAGGGGAGCCTTCACTTGCTGCCGTACATACGTGGGGAGCTGCTCTTCACAATGAGCATGTATTTCTTTCATAATCAGAAACATGTTTTTTATTAAAATGCAAGTTCAGAACAGTATGTGTACTGTGCTACCATTTGTGTTACCGAGAGAACGAATTTTAAAACTTGTATGTGCTCGAATGCACAAAAAATATCTCTGGAAGTAGCCGTGAGAACCGACTAACCCAGCCCGGGGCCAGGAGGGGACTGGGCGCTGGGGAGGAGACGTTCCCTCGTGTGTGTATTTATGAACCAGGGCAATGGAGTTGCCTTTCTAGAGTACACGAGGGACAGGACCCCGTCACATCCCTGTCAGAGTACCACAGACAGAGTCCTGCTTCCTCCTCGCTTTTTTCTTTTTTAAAAATTTATTTATGTATTTGAAAGAGAGAGAGAGAGAGAGATCTTCCAGCTCTGGTTCACTCTCCAAATGGCTGCAACAGCCAGGGCTGGGCCAGGCCTAAGCCAGAAGCCTGGAACTCCATC